AAAACATTGGTCCAATGGTAAAACTGTCCAAGCTTAATGGTAATTAACTTACCTGCAACTCTGTGCGTGTTATCAGGAGACTTCACTCCTGTTCTGCCAAGAGATAAAATTGGCACCATCCTGGATAGGCTGCTGTGTCTGCTGGTAGAGAGCTAGTTCTAATTTTATATCGTTTTAAAGGAAAGAAAGTGCTATACATAGAAACCCTCTTCTCATCTATCCAGTCTCAAAATAGACTAAGTGTAAGTATTGTATTAACTATTACTGCCCTTGAACTCAAAGCTTCCTAATGTTGTAAGTCATTTGGAAGAAAGAATATGAAAATAATAATCTAAACAAGACAGTGCTCATACCTGAATGGGATATCCTGTATAGTTCCTACTAGACTGGAATTCCATGTCAGCTAAAACCATGTAAAACAAATAGCCCCCAAACTCAAAAGTAAGCCCCATGTTATCTGTTAAAAGATTCACTCACTAACAGATGCTCTGGTGTCTGTGCTTAATCTCAGAGGTTTTGAGGTCTTTGCAGTGACTGATCTCAGAAAGGCCTGCTCACTCACTGTGAAACCCCGTTTTTCCAGAGTTACACAGCAATGCAGGTCTTGAGAGAGTCAGGCTTGACAGTTGAGGTCTGTAGTTCTCCCTCTCTGCTGGCACATGGCACATCACAGCACACCGCACCCACTTTGAATTCCCGGTAGATGAACAGCACTGCTTGCCTGTAAAATATCTCATTCCATAAGGACCTTAAAGTATTTCAGGTCATCCCTGTTACAGTATAATGGCTCGTGTTCGTTCCCCCTCCTTCCCAGCAGCTGTTCATGATCAGCTCATAGAAATCTGGATTGCTGATGTTTTGTTGCAGCATACGGAAGCTGTTCTTCACGAATGAGCACTCCCAAGTTGGGGATAGAAAACAGTAGTCCACTGGAAAGGCCCAACCCACAGCCTGTTTTTTGTTTTAGTTATTTTTGTTGTCAAGAGTATACACAATAAAAGCATATACCAGTTCAAATTTCTACATAGATATTTAAGTGACATGGTAGAAACTATTTAAAATTAGAATTCCCAAACTTAATGACATTAAAGCATACACTTAAACAAATCTTTCTGTTAATTCCAGAAGCTGGATTGCAGTTAACCAGTCATTTCTGTGTCAATGCCCCAATTTCCTACAGATGGATTACTTTAGAAAGATTACTATCAGCAGCCATAACATGATTTTGTATTCCCTGCCAGCTAACACTGTTGGATTTTTTTTCTTACATATTATAAGGTTTTTAAAAACATAACGTGTAAGATAGACTTATGTCTAGCTAACATTTTACAGAACAAGTTTGACTACTCTGAGTACCCATTTCTCCAACCTATTGCTGTCCTGACATGACATAGCTGTCCTGACATTGACCATGTGAGATCTTAAGATGAACACAAAATAGTTTTTCTGAAGCCTTCTCATGAGAACAAATTCATTCCTCTTTCCATTCAAGAAACTGCTGTGGGTCACTCAAGCACTAGGTTCTCAAGGGTATAAGTAGTGATGCTGTGCCAACCTCAGGAAGCAGAGGGCACCCAACAAAGGGCAGGGCTGCCCAGGCCCTTCCTAAAGAGAGCCCATCATCAGGGCTACCAATACCTGATCCCACTTTCTGCAAAAAAAGCTTCTCTTTCCCATGCCTTTCCAAGTATTCCTTCATGCCTTTCCAAGTACTACCACACCTTTCCAAGTGCTCCTCCATGCTACCTAAGGGCCGCCAGCACTTACTGCCAAGCCAAATGTCATAAATATCCTCCCAGCAGAACCTCCTTGTTCTGCCCCCAGTTGTGTTAAATTCTTGGAAACATCAGAATCTCTGGTGATTTTTTTTTCCTAGTGTTTGTGTTCAGGCCACATCCACGGCCCACAGGAATCTCAGAGGGTGGGTGATAGGAACCATTTTTGGCTGACCACCCCCCCAGGTGATTCAGATATACACACCCAAGCAGTGGACTGCAGACAAACCTCCAGAAACCACTGCCCAGACTTCTTTCCCACCCTCATTGTAATGTGCCTGTCCTCATCCCTTTCCTAGGTAATATTTCCTGGCAATTGGTGCTAAAGTTTACAGGAGCATCCTGGAGACAGTGCCTTAACCCAAAGGCATGATTCCACTGGTAGGTTTTGTGAACATGTGACATGAAATAGGAACAACTGAGGAGCTGGGGGAATCCCTGAAAGGCTACTTATAAAGCAGGACTGGGTCAATTAGACCCGTAGCTAAAAGCCTTAGGTCTTCTCCTAATATTAGGAGAATTCATAAAGACTTTGGCTTAAATCATTGTGAGAGTTTTTCGCAAGAGGAACCTAGCAGCATTAACTTTCATAAAGAGCCACTCTCAAGATTTAGCTTATAATAAATGACACAGTTGCATTTCAGTAAGGTGGATACCTATCCTGACTGAGAATGACCCTGGTCTAGGCACATCCCCCTCCAAATAATGACCTACCAACAGTAACAACAACCAAAAGTGTGAATAAATCCATCTATTACACTATAACTTAGAGGGCAGTAATGTTTGTATTTGTACTGATTCTAAGCTAGAAAAAAACCAAAAGCATTCTCTTTTGATAGAAAATTTAAACAAGAAAAGAAACCGTGGGAATATCTACTTCAAGTCTTCTGATTTAAAATGCCCAGAAGGAACTACACAGAAACTGTGGACACACTCTGGGAAACCAGCCCAGGTTGTTGAAGACATCCACAACAACAACAACAACCAGTTTTGGTGTTGGTGTTCCGATACCAAATATATACAGTGCATACATTTCCAGGAAAACTTTGAAAAGGTTTCACTTAAAGTGGTTGTTTACTGTAACGTCATTAACCTATGTGTAGAACCACAACAACTAAAAGTTTGTACAAGCCAGGATGCTGTAGCTGCTAGTCGTCATCTCCTTTTAAAAGCCACAGAGATTGGTTTGGGGAAACTGCCAGAGACCGCACGCCAGGGTAATGTTTAAATAGAGCACCTATTCTTTAGGTTAGACAGTAAGAGTATTTATTTTATTCTAGATTGGTCTAAAAATTGGATAATTATTTAAATTCCATAGGAAAGCTAATATGAAGCTAAAAAGGCCTTTGTAAGAAGAAAGCTCTGTGATGTCTATTTCAATTGTTAAAAATTCCAGGTGTAGCCAGACTTATTCCATTATAATAACAAGAAAACATAAAAAGCCCCAAATGAAATTTCAACTTTCCAGACTGATTTTATTCTACTGGGTCTCTGTACTGAGAGTAACAAACTAAATCTCCCTTTGCCCCTGACATTTTCCGGGGCCTGCCTGCACACTCAAGTGCTGTTGACCTTTGTGCTAATGAGGAACCAAGCAGAAATGCCCAGAGACAGCAGAGTGATGCTTCAAAATTGTCATTCCAAGCTGAGACTCTGCCCAAGCCATGAGAGGAACATCTGTGCAGCCTTCAAGGATGGGCACCCTCAAGTTTGCCCCACACTCTCAGCAGTTGCCATTTTTGTGTGGTTTTCAGAAAGTGTTCTCATTTTTCCTTTCATGGTTGCCTCAGGGCTCCTTGTTTGGGGGACAGAATGGCTTTCTTGCCTTAGGAAATGCTCAGGGCTCTCAGAGAACAACTGATTTCTTCTCAGGGCGTTCTTGCCCCATTGAGCCATACAGCGTTTTCAGAGACTTTATTATACAATCAAAGAGTGGGGATTTCAAGATTGTGCATCTTGAGTGAAGAATGGCTTTGAAGCCCACAAAAGCCCTAGATATGTGCCAGTCCTGGTTTAAATGTCATGACAGACTCTCCTGTGAGAGTGGCAGTGTAGAATAAAGGCCACTGTCATGCATCTGACACACCACAAAATCCACTTGCTGACCAAAACAACCAGTTTCTGTCATTATTGATGATGAATGTAGTTAGATGTACCATATTTTCTAAGTGCTGACATGGAAAGACTATTTGGCTAATCTGAATTAGCTCTCTTTACAAGGTAATTGTGCCCTCAACTCTCAGTTGGTTTTTCAAGCTGCTAACACACCTTCACATTGGCCTTACATGTTTTTCTTTGCTGTTTTCTTCCTTTGAAGACTACCCTCCCCCACAGTCTTTTCTACATTCTTTTGAAAGTCAAACCCCTTTCTCAGACTTTGTGAATAAAACTGATTGTGTAACAGAACTAGAATCTTACAGTATCCTAAATAAGATGGTAAATGAACACCTTCTTTCTCCTCTACACTCTACCCAGTTCATCACTCTAAATAAGGCAGATTTTACTTGGGTCATTTTCAGTTTACAATATGAGTTTCTCTTGTATAGTGTCAAGTAACAGAGATGAGAAAAGTGGACTAGGGTCAAAACACAAGGGACATAAGAGCACAACAGATTGTTGTCCCAGCACCTTAACACGCGTGCTTCTGGAATCATCTGCTCTCAGAGCACTTGCAAATGATGTGAAGAAAAACCCACAGGAATGTCCACGGGAAGTCCAGTGACCTCTGCCTGGAATTCTTGCAGGAAGTGCAATGTGGAGCCAAGCTGCCAGAAAGAAGTAACAGTAAATAGTATATCCTCAAGTCAGACTTGGAAGAGTTAGAGAGTTTGCAAAAAATAAATGCTTAGGCATGATTGAAATAGTTGTTAATGCTATTCATTCTAAAACCATATCCTCTTTCAGAGACTCAGATTACAGCCTAGAGAGCAGAGACTGACCGGCCAGTCACCTACAAGCTGGGAGAACATTCTCTGCCCTGCCTTTTTCCACCCCAAGCAAGCGACAATGACCTCCTTTCAAAATCAGACTTAGAGGACATACGACTAACCAACCCAATTACTGCTGCACTGACATCAGTAGAATGTCCATCGTTATTAACCAAGCTTGGAATGCCCTGAGCACTCACCCAAACTCTGAAGGATCCAAACATTAGTCCCGTCCTCTGTGAGCATGGAGCAGGGTGGCTTCTGCAGTCATGAGGACATGCCATTTCTTTCTTCTCAGGTGATATCCGCAATGACCTATACCTGACCCTGGAGAAGGGAGATTTTGAGAGAGGGGGAAAGAGTGTACAGAAGAATATTGAAGTGACCATGTATGTGCTTTATGCAGATGGAGAAATCTTAAAGGTAAGGCAGTGCGTCAGTCATTTGGAATTAAAGCAGATCCTGAAAGCATGGTGGTACTTCTGTGGACTTTGTCCAAAGGCCCATTCCCCCCAAATTGCCTTTTTCTTCTCTTTTTCTTTCTTCAAAAAAACCCCCAATATTGTACTTAATGATAAGTTCTAATACTGTACAACCTTTATGGAGATTCTGTGTATCTGATTTGATTTCACTCCTCCTTCAATGTAGACTTGTTCCTTCTTGTTCTGTACTGTTAGCTCTTCTGCCATTCTCTCCATCTGCCTTCATGTTCCTGGAGTTAATGGTAGAACTTGGGTATTAATTTGACCCCAACAAGTTACAGGATAAAGAATAGTACTTTCAAGCCCTGAAGATCATTTTCTAGCCAGTGCAGTGCAAGGATCTTCACTGAACTTTATTGAAGATCTAGAGTCCTGGAGCTTTTTGTCAGTGTATGTTTTCCCCCCCTCAGTCATACTAGGGATGAAGTAAGTTCCCGGCAAATCGCAGAGGTTCCATTTGTAGAGGGCTTGATAGAAGGCAAATCGGTTTTTTCCACAAACCTCTTCCCGGTATGTTGCCAATGGTCCTGTGAAGTAAGTACAACAGGAATGAGCATTCCCATTTTACAGACAGAGAATTAATAAAAATCGTGTCCTAAAGCGAGACAAAAATGGAGGAGAATGTTGAAACAGTGGTAGACACAGTGATCTGTGTGGTCATTTTTTAATGAAGAGCTTGTTCATGTGGAGAGTACTGGGACAGCTGAGCTGTCAGCTAGGACACCATACCTGCGTGCAGTTGGAGCTGTTCCTGGTTATGTCGCCTGCAGCTCCTGCACTCCAGAGGATGGTTCACAGGTTATCCTGGATCTTCATTTTCATGGTAGTACTTGGAAGCTAAAGTTAGATGAAATCCGGTGTTGTTGCTGTTGTTATGTGCTGTCAAGTCGTTTGCGACTCATAGAGACCCTATGTACAACAGCCCTAAACCCTGCTCTATCCCATGCCAATCTCATTGCCTCTGACACACCCATCCCGATTTCCCCAGTCACTGAATCAGTCCACCTCATAGAGGGTCTTCCCCTCCTGCGCTGTCCCTCCACTCTACCCAGCATGATGTCCCTCTCTAAAGACCTG